TCGAAGACTCGTGGAGGAATCAAAAATAGAGATGAATTGGGATGTAAGATTGAGAGTGGGGCTGTAAAGTTAAGAATCCTAGAAGGAGTCCTATTAATGATGTAAACAGCGGTAAGAACTGCATCTCCCCAAAATGACTGGGGAACATTCATGCCAATGCAGATTGCTCTGGCTAAGTCAAGGATATGGCGATTCTTTCTCTCAGAACGACCATTCTGTTGAGGAGTTTTAACATTAGCCAGCTAATGCGCAATCCCAAATTCTGTACATAACCGTTGTACCTCCCCATAAGTGTACTCTGTACCCCGGTCAGATCGGAATTTTTTAATGGTACAACCAAATTGAGTCTGAACCATTGTCATAAAATTTTTAAAAATGGTGTATACCTCATTTTTGGTTTTCATAAGACAAACCCAAGTAACACGACTATGATCATCAATGAACAACACAAAATATCGAAATCCAAGACTAGAAGTAACTGGGCAAGGACCCCACATATCTGAATGAACAAGATCAAAATGTGTTAAAGCAGATTTATTACTACTAGCAGGATAATTGGAACGAACATGTTTAGCCATATGACATGTTTCACAGGATAAATCTGACACTGCCACGTTACAAAATAAGGAAGGAAATAAATGTTTCAAATAACCAAATATAGAATATGTAATGATTTGATTCTGTTTCCTTTCTTGTAATATGAGCATGTGCTTATTTTATTTATAAATACTAGAGCTGTGAATAGGTAATTCATCTCATTCAAGCCTTTACGCAATTCTCTCTTTTCTCTTCTTTTTACATTTCTACTGTGACATCACCCATCCAGGAGGTATCAGGTAGGCAAGGTGGTCCGACCTCAACGAGGGCGTTGCGAGTTTGGCACCACTTATTAAAAAATGGTCTGAGGATACACAATTGTTTCTTTTTATGGTTTGAGGAGATATTGTTGATTCTTTCATCCACATTGTTTAAACATATGTATGAAGGGGAATGGTATGAGGAGACATTGTTGATTCTTCCATCTACATGTTTTAAACATGTGTATGAAGGGAAATGGTCTGAGGAGACATTGTTGGTTGTCTATGATCTGAGGAGACATTGTTGGTTGTTTATGGTCTGAGGAGAAATTGTTAATTGTATTTTTTTTTTTTTTTTGATAAGTGAGACATTGTTAATTGGTTATCGTCTGAGGAGACATTGTTAATTGTTTATTGTCCGAGGAGACATTTTTTATTTCTTGATCGACACTTCATCTAAGAGAAAATCAACGCTAGTCAGATTTGCACTCCATTTGTCGTAAGCTCTCAGTAGCTTGTAGACATTCTTACAAAGGGCGTCAGCAAGATTGTGTTTGAGAATGCATTGTCTAAGTTGGGCGTTTCAGATATCTACGCACCAACTTGAGGGGGAGTGTTAACATATATGATAGCCACGATTTATAGAATGACTTACCATATTAGCAGAGATTTGATTATGATTTGATTTAGATTTGATTTAGTTTCCTTTCTTGTAATATAAGAATGTGCTCTTTATATCTATAAATACTAGAGCCGTGAATGAGTGATTTATCTCATTCAAGCTTTTACATATTATTATATCTCATTCAAGCCTTTACACAATTCTCTCATTTTTCTTCTTTTTATATTTCTACTAAATATTTAGCTGGAGTCCTTCTATTTGGAGATTTAATACATCTGATGCATAGATATATACCTGTACCGGACACACGTACCCAAGTCCATGTAACAAAGGTTTGAACATTAGAAATCTGATGCTCAATCCCGAATTCCGTACATAATCAATGTACCTCCCTATAAGTGTACTCCGTACCATGACCAGATATGAGTTTTTTAATGGTACGACTATACTGAGTTTGAACCGTTGTCACAATTTTTTTAAAAACAGTGTACACCTCATTTTTGGTCTTCATAAGATACATCCATGTAACACAGCTATAATCATTAATAAACAACACAAAAAAATTGAAATACAAAACTAGAACTAACTAGGGAAAGCCCCAGACATTTGACTGAACAAGATCAAAAAATGTTAAAGCATTTTTATTACTACTAGTAGGATAATTAGAATGGACATATTTAGCAAGGTGACATGTCTCGTAGGATAAATTTGAGACTATCATATTACTAAACAATGAAGGAAACAAATGTTTTAAATAACCAAAAGAAATATGTCTTAAACGCAAGTGCTTACGCAAAAGTTAGGCTTTATTTGATGAAACACTAGAAGAGGAAACTAAATGTGCTTGAGGTGACAAAGGAGAATCCAATAGGTATAAGCCATCCACTTCACGCTCACTGCCAATCGTTCGCTTCGATACCAAATCCTAAAAAACACAATGAGATGGAAAGAATGTTACACTGCAATTCAATTATTTAGTAACGCTACTAACATAATTAATATTAGTAGTAAGTTATGGAACATGAAGTGTTTCAGACAAAGTTAAAGGAGTAACCGATATTTGATCATTCCTAGTAATGGAAGACGGAGAGCCATCCGTAAGGCATACCTTGCGATGGCCAGAGCAGGTACTGTAAGAGTGGGAGAAGGAGGACATACCAGTCATATTGTCTGAAGCACGAGAACCAATGATCCATGGTGTCGAAGATATAAATATGCTATGTGCAGATGTAATAGTAACTGAATGGGCATAAGTGGAGGTTGGCTCGGATGATGCCTCCATTTGACTGAAGAATTGTTAAACCTATCCAAATCAACCCAAGTCAAGGTAACTGTATCAAAGGATGAAAAAGCAAAGTTGTCCAAAATCACTTTTTCTTTATCTCGTCGCCTCGTCTCTGCTTTTTGGGGTTTTTAGTCCTAGGGCTACTTCGTTCCGTAATGGTCGTTTTCTTTATCGATATCGAGTTCGGCTATGCCACTGTGTAACAGAATGTGCAGAGGATTGAGGGTGGTGTAGTTTTTGCTATAGTGGGCATCCATGTAGTGAGTGCATAACAACGAGATTTTATTTGACCAAGTTTCCCGCAATGGTTACACCGCCCACATTATCTTGGTGCTAGAACTCTGAACTGACTAGGATGGTGCAATTCCTAAAGGGTTAGGAATGCAAACTGCCATAGCTAAGTGGTTAGCATAAGCAACACCTAATGGATCTCATTTGATAAAATATAGTAGTATATGTCCTCCATATTAGGGAATGAAGACAAGCCCAACAAATGAATAGGAGCATACTCAAACTCATCATTCAGCCCAGCAAAAACTAAAACACCCGATTCTTCTCCACAATCCCCACATATAAATCTGCATTCTCTGTATCCTTTCAAAAGTGGAAGGAATTATAATTTGGCACTCTAAAATAGCATAAAGCCTGGCGATGTAACCAAAAATGTAAGTCATCCTAAGTAATGCTAATGATATCTTGCCCCAACTGAAAAATCCTTGCATTATTCAGCCTCTGAGAATAAGTGCGCTTACAGAATCCCAAATTTACTTAGCGGTCTTCATGGATATATACCTAACGGCTATGTTTGGCTGCTTTGAATTGACTAGCTAAGACATAACCATGGCATTAGCTACTGTGGACATATCTTATCAGAACCATTGTGGACATATCTTATCTAACTCGGCTGGCTCTTTGTCAGAACCAGTAATATAGCCAATCTTACCTTTGTCAGCAACAAAATTCCCGACAGACTATGCCTAAATCAAATAGTTGGAACCATCTAACTTCACTGTGGTGGTCTAAAATCTTGGATTTTTGATGAGTTGGTGGGAAAAATGATACCACCCACAAAACTCGAAGCCATGAAGAGTCAACAGTCAAGGACCTAAAACTGCCATACTATTTCATACGATAATAAACAACTCCAAGAGCACCATAAACCCTGTCAACTAATCAAAGTGTCTCCTCAAACCATAAAAAATCAACAATGTCTCCTCAGATCATTCTCAAAAATTCCAAATACAGACTTCCTGTAGGAGTGTTACCCACATAAATACAGCCGAACGACCTCCTTCTCAATATCCAGAACCTCTTTGTAGACTTACAATAATTTACCCAAGCCCTTCTACGTGTTGGAGACCAACTATATCAACTTGCCAACTTACCAACCCTAGAAGAGTAAAATAAAAAATAAAAAATTGTAAGACTTGAAAATACTTGCTTTCGATCACAAAACAGCGGCTCACAAAATTGTGTGCAGGCAACGTCGTGGGGTGTCGCAAATAGCCTAAGGTGGCTGTCGCACAAGCCGCAAAGCTGCTGGAGGTTATGACAAGGTGTTGGCTCTGATACCAAGAATAAATACAAGATTGAAGAAGAACAAGAGAAATATGTAAAGGCTTGAACGAGAATAATCACTCATTCACAACTCCGTATTTATGTACTAAAAGAGCACATTGCAATATTATAAGAAAGGAAACCAAATAAAATCGCTGCAGATGCTATGCCTAAATATATGTATAAATAAAGTTCAATTTGATGATTTTAGGCTATCATATCTCGGCTAAAATTTACCATGTTAACATAACTACTGCACACACAAAGTTTCCAAAGGAGGAAACAAATAATTCATATACCGAAATGTTACTTAACAGGAGCGAGTTAAGCAACCACTTGAATGCAAATGGTTGTAGAAAGCGAAACAATACTGTAATAGGAAAAAAGGAAACTATATATAAACAATTATAAACAGGAAAAAGGATGCCAAAAAAATAGTGGTAACATAGTTTACCATTACAACTGTATTCAATTTGATTACATAAAGGGTCATTAAGGGGTAAGCTATAGGTTTTGCATGCACACTAGCACTCGACTGAATTATGAGTGAAAGGTAGTCCTCTACAACAAGGAATAGAAAGCATCGATAAGAATGATTAAGACGATTAGGAACAACTAGCACCACTTGATTAGGGCCCATAACCCTTCCTTCACTTACTAAGAACAGGGATTGCCCGGCATGGCATTCCAACAAATAGTAAAAACAGATCCAAGTGCTAACAGCATATTTTTCAAGTACCTTCCAGTTGAGCCATATGCAAATACAGTTGCATTGAGACCTTGAGCAACACCAGCAATTATTGAAGATACACTTCTCTCGTAAACATCCTGGATGAATGCAGCGTCATCAGACTTCTTAATCACAATAAAAGAACAACCTTAGAATAGCATGTGTTTTTTTTTTTTTTTAATTTGACGCAGCTGCAAGTAAGTGAAGTAATTGGCATGGTTTATAACAATATTGACATCAACAACCAACATAAATGTCTTCACATATTCAATTCTATAACATAATAGCTCAAAGTTGCAGTATTAGTACAGGTCATTATCTAAAGTAACAAAGATAACTGAACTAGAGGATCTTATCATCAGAAAAATGAATAGCGCGCCCCACTGTTCTTCAAATGATACTTTGGACTAGTGACTTTGCATCTATTTGTGTTCTTATACAGCATCACAAGTCACAACAGGGTGCTAAAACTGATTGAGTTGTCAATCAGGATTTAGCTCCTTTCATCTTTGGACAGATTCAATTCGTCCTTTTACATAGAAAAATATTTTTCATCTACATGTCTTCTCTATAGAACTCTAATTAGGTGACAAAATCAGACGTGTTTGTCTTTTGTCCCCATATTCATTAGTGTCCAAGAACAGAGTGAGATATCCAACATCAGGATATGGATTAAAGGCTTACTGAAATTCTTTAACCAATAATCTGGATGAAAATTTCCAAAAATCTATATCTACACAATTATCTAACTTACCAGAAAATATATTTATATGGTTGGAATAGGCGATAAACCTTTTTGTAGTAATTGCATTTGTGCATGTCTTCCTATGTTCTCTCTTTTCTTTTTTGACAATTAAGTAGCACTAATAGATGCAGAAGCAGAATTGGGAATAACAAGAGGACAAACTTCAAGAAAGAGAAAGATAGAGACCACATACCAAATTAGTAAAATCAGGACCAAATGCATAATCAAAGGAATATCTTCGTTCTTTTGTTCGATTTTGTATGCGATCAAGGTAGTCCTTTGACAGGTCAGGATCCAAAACAATAACCTCCTACAAATAACATTTACATACACTAGATAAATTTTCTTCTCTCAATTGATAAATAGGTAAATTCATAGAATTAAAAAAAAAAAAAAATTATAAACAAAAATGTTGGAGATTGAATAGGTGAAAAATGAACACCTTGTCATTGTTTACTCGAACTATGTCGCGACCACGTTCACTTTCTGTTAATGGCCTACATTTTACAGCAACCTACAGCCAAAAGATCAGAAGATGACAATAAACAAAGAAACTGAACAAAAACAAAGAAATTTTCTTAAGAAATGGAAAAGGACTAACGGTGAGGGTTGTGGCTTTCTTGATCACCGGAGCTGTAATGCTAGGCATGTTTGATTCAACATTCGCTTCCAAGAAATCAGCTCATTGCTCACTATCAACAAAATTTAACTCCAAATTCCAATCTGAAGCTAGTTCGAATTGCTTTTCATCAGCCTAAGAACAACCTCAATACAGGATGCTTCAAACCCTAACACATTGTGAGTGAACACTCGTACAGAAGTTCTCAAATTCAGCTTCTGATCCACAAACAAACAACTGATCAAAAGAATTTACAGATGAAGCACAGACCTAAAATCCAAAGCAACAGAAAATACATTCCACATCAAAATCATCCAGCAAAGCATCTACTCCAATGCAGCATTGCCCAGCCCTAAAATTCCTCAACCGAAGGAATGAATTTGGGAAGAGAGAAATGTCGAATGTGAAATGTGTGTCAGTGTGTGTGAGAGAGAATCAAAATTCAAAAATCTGAAAAAATGCGTGTGACAGAAAAATGAGAAGTGGAAAATTGTGTGTATATATTTAATATATATATATTGACGCGGTTTGGTGTAATGTAATACTCTATAAAATCGAATGCCAAGGACGACCGTGTTGAAGGTTGGAACTTGGAAGATCAGTGTCGGGAGGTGATCTGAACCGTTGGAAAAAGAGTATATTTGGATTTTTCTGTGTAGGCTTTTTGATTTGATTTGTGTTAAAAGAGATGACAGACGAGATGACCTGTATGACAAAGACACATACGTGACGTACATAAATGGAGAGGGAAAGGGTGGTCCATACAACCATTATTGTAGTTTATTTTAAAAAATATACTAAAATATATTAATTAAATTTTATATAAAATATATAGTCCCGTTGGGTAACAAATAGTGATTCCTACTTCCAATTTTACCGAAAGCAAAATCATAATTTTGATTTCTTAAGCCTGAAATAGAAAGTATAAGGTAAATTCACATGTTTTTAATATTTTGAAAGCAAAATAATAGAAAGCAAGTTCAATAATTATGATTTTGTTTTTAATTTTTTTAATCCATAGTATGTATATATATAATATATAATTATGATTTTGATTATGTCTCTAATTTTATTGGACAATAAATGACCCTCAATTTTAGTCTTTAACGATTGAGATGTTCGTCGGTTTATATCTCTAATTTTATTGGACAATAAATGACCCTCAAAAGTTCAAAGATGCCAACTCCACCACCTTCCCTCAACCCATCAACTCTCCTCCACCCACCTAGATTTATCCCCTCCACCTCTTCTCCACTAAATCGACATACCAAGAAAACACAATTATCTAATTCCCCTAATAAACCACCTTCCTATCCTTCCTCCAAACCTCTACTCAAAACAGTGTACACTGCCACTCCCTTCAAATCACCCATCACCCCTAGGACAAAACAATTTACCATACATGACTCACTAGATTATCAACCAGACTGCCTTCAGTCACTTCTTCCACTATGGACAAGTCAAGAAAGTGCTTCAAAATGACAAAGTTCTTAACCCAACCAACAAAGTAATCTCAGATGTCTCTTACTTACCTGGCGGGGTGGAGGCTACTATTATATATGGATGCATCCAAGGCTGACTTTATTGTGGAAGTTGCAAGACTGAAGAGGCAACTGCACGTTATGGAGGAGGAGATGACCAACCTTAGAAACTCAAATGTTGCCCCTTGCAGATGCCAAGGGAGTGACGTCACCGCTCCCATTGCTGGTTCCTTGCTCATGTGTGTTGTTCAAAATGGTGTAAGTGTACTATATACTATAGTATTACTATTTAAATATTATGTAAAAATATAATATATATATATAATTATTATTGGTTTATAATAATAATTATAATAATAATTTTCTAATAAAATATAGTTATATATATATAATAAAATAAAAACTATATAAAAGAACCTGTTAATTGGTCGAGTCTAGAATTGGACTCTATCTCATTAAGACAGATTCGCCCCGTTATGGTGCTGACGGACTCAGTGGCGTCTATCTCCCAGGATAATATGGCTTTTCTTTCTTCGATAGCAGCACTGCAAACTGGAGAAATAGGTGAACCGGCTCAGTGTAGAATTCTCTCTCTAAACCAGACTCTAACTCACACCCTAATACTATGTTTATGCAAAGAAATGAGAAGAAGGAAGAGAGGAAAAATTCAGAAGTAGAAGATATTTTGAATTTTGGTGTGATTTGCAAATGACCCTAAGGGGGGTATTTATAAGCAGCCTGGTGCCTTTTCGGGTGGCCTAAACCATCACCTGCACTGGATGTGGTGATGGTTCAGTTCAAATAGAAGCACTAGTTTGGACTAGGTGCAACCCATTCAATGCACTGGTTCGGACTAGTCACACTCATTCAAATAAGCCCAACCCAAAAATTAATTAAGTCCAAACATAGGCCCAATTCAAAATTCCGTTTAATAAAAAGAATAACCGGACTCTACAATTAAGCCCAAGCCTGGACCGAACTAGGTCTGGTCGGGCAGGGCGCGTGTGTGGTAAATGGTTTGGACCCAAGCCTGCCTAGGTCCTCCCCCTCTTAAAAACTTGGGTGCCCTTGGGCCTAAACCTAAATCCCAAACTTGGCTTATTTAAACTTCAATTGGTTTCACTTTATTTTCAATGTGGGACAACCACTTCCCACATTATGCATACCCAATTAAGTTTACCAAACATCTTACTTTGGGACTAATTTCTCATTCACCCGGAAATAGATTTGAGAAAGTAAATATACCACGATTATCTCCTTACGAAGATGAATGCATTCATCTATAGATCCGTAAAAAATTCTTAGCGGGGCCTACTCAAAATTTCGCCCAAAGTTTCTGTTTTGTATACTTTGTTTCCAAAAATCCCCCACATGAATGGAAATTGGCGTCAATTACAAATGATGAAAATGCAGACACTAGAGAGAGTACTACTGGAAAGTTACTGCATCATAATAGGTAGCTTTTGGCCTTGAACCTTACCTAGTTTTTTACTATCGGATTTATTGGCTAACCAGTGAATATGATGTCTTGAACTGTTCAACTATTGATGTAAATCAAGACAATAACAAATACAAAGTTCATTCCTGCACTAAGTCGATTCTTACGGTTATATTCATATGGCTATGAACAACTCCTGGTATTTCATGAGTGCTTCAGAAAACTTAGCCTTCGAAATTCTCATAGAAGCGGCCCCACTTCACACTCATATAGGTGACCTCTTATTATGAGTATCCTACCAGACCCTACTTGAATTTTTTAAGATATAAGAGTCATTAAAAACATAGCTTATCCTAATCCTTGCTGTAGGTAGCGCTGTTGTAACGACCCACTCCACCACATGGTATGATATTGTCCGCTTTGGACCCGTGCACGCACGGTTTTTGCTCTTAGGTTTTACTCCAAAAGGCCTCATACCAATTGGAGTGATACACCTACATATAAGCACTTCACTTTTCCCTTCCCAGGCGATGTGGGATTGTACACCCATAACTCGCCAGTGTGGTAGCCTATCAGTGTCTCGCACTCGCCCACGGCACACCCACCCACAAGGTCATTACAATCCACCCCCTTGGAAGCCCGATGTCCCCATCAGCACACTTTAGGCTGGGTCAGGCTCTGATACCATTTGTAACGACCCACTCCACCACATGGTATGATATTGTCCACTTTGGACCCGAGCCCGCACAATTTTTGTTCTTGAATTTTACTCCAAAAGGCTTCATACTAATTGAAGTGACACACCTACATATAAACACTTCACATTTCCCTTCCCAGGCGATGTGAGATTGTGCACCCGTAACTCACTAGTGTGATAGCTTGCTAATGTCTCGTCCACAGCACACTCACCCACAGGGTCATCACAACTGTCTCATCATAGAAATGAGTAGAAGATTAAATCATCCCAGTGCTTCTGGTGATCTATTCAGAATTTTTGTTGTCCCTTTGAACCTAAATCTTGGGATCTCCAGTTAACTAGGTTGGGTTTCCATTAAGATGACTTGTTAGCTTTCGGCTTTAACCCAATTCCCCTCGATGAACTATACACTTGCTCTATTATCAAACATTTTGTAAACGGATCTGCTAAATTGTCTTTAGACTTGATATAATCTATTAAGATTATCCCACTTGAGAGCAATTGTCTAATGGTAATATGTCTTCGATGTATATATCGAGAATTACCATTATACATATTACTTTATGCCATTCCAATTGTTGATTGACTATCACAATGTATACATATAGTGGGCACAGGTTTAGGCCAATTTGGAATATCTTCTAAGAAATTACAAAGCCACTCAGCTTATTTACCAGCTTTATCCAAAGCAATAAATTCAGCTTCCATAGTGGATCTGGCAATACAAGTTTGTTTTGAAGATTTCCAAGATATGACACATCTTCCAATAGTAAAGACATAGCCACTTGTGGATTTAGAATCCTTTATATCTGATATCCAATTAGCATCGTTGTATCCTTCAAGTACCGCTGGATATCTTGAATAATGCAATCCATAACTCATGGTATATCTCAAGTACCTCAAAACCCTATTTATCGCAGTCCAATGGTTCTTTTCTGGATTGCTAGTATATCTACTCAATTTATTAACTGAGTATGCTATGCCTGGTCGTGTACAATTCATTAAATACATTAAGCTTTTTATAATGCGAGAATACTCAAGTTGTGATATGCTAGGACCAGTATTTTTCTATAAATGAAGATTTACATCAACAAGAGTCTCTACATGATTACTATCTTCTTTATTAGGGATGGCAACGGGGCGGGTTTGGAGCGGGTTTCCCTAAATCCCGCCCCGCCCCTTTTAATTTTTGTCAAGTCCATGCCCGCCCCGAGACCCGCGACGGGTTGGATTTTAATATCCAGCCCCGCTCTGTTGGGAAATACTATGCCCCCCGTGCTCGTCTCGCTAACAAATTTTTTTCTCCCACTTTTTGGAACTTAAGCTCCTGCTATTTAAATGTGGAAAGCCTGGAAATGACACAACATAAATGAAATTATGTATCCAAACAAAAATAAAAAAATAACATGCACATAACATTATCCAGAGAACATAATAAATAAAAATAAAAGTTTAATATAACCAAATCACAAGAAGTTCTAAGTTTCAACTTCCACCATAACCAAAACAAAAGCAAATTTAATACCAAGTTTACATCCCAAATTAGAATTATAAGAGATGGGTAACTAGGTAAGCCACTAAAATAAGTTATTAATATTATATATATATATATATATATATATATATATATATTAAATATAGTTATATGCTTAGCGGGACGAGGCGGGGCCCCTAGGATACGTATACTGAACCCTTACCCGCCCCGTGACCCACGATGGGTACAAAATTTATATCCATGCCCGCCTCAATGGTATAAAAAGTGTTTCCATACCTGTTATTAACGGGGCGGTAAAAATTGACATCCCTATTCTTTATTAATTTTTTTTAGTATTTTCTCAATGTAATGAGATTGAGATAATACTAGACCATCTGATGTTCTAGAAATCTTGATTCCTAGTATGACATCAGATATGCCTAAATCTTTCATATCGAAATTTTTGGTCAACATATTTTTAGTAGTTTTGATTATATTATCATTACTACCCATTATTAGCATATCATCCACATATAGGC